AATAAACATAGCTGGACTGAATTGGCATTGTCTCTTGGAGTTCCTTGGACTAGGCCTGACACACTGCATTCTTCTCTGATAATGTTATGCACAAGAGAGAAACACATTCTTCTTTTCCTATCATGCCTGTTTTAAGAAATGGTTTCTTCTTTTCCCAGTTTCTACTTGCTGTCATGCTGTCTAAAGGTAGAAAGAGCCATGGAACCACCTCCCACATCCAGCTTTACCAATAAGGCCATGCACAGTGGAGGAGAAATTATTTGCAGGGGAGATGTAGATCCCCAGGAAATCCACATTGACGGGATGCTTCTTCCAGACCCGATGGAGTAGGACCATAAAGGTCAGATCCCCATCTACAGTGAGAGTGACGTTGCTCTCTTGCTTCACTGAGACCAGCAACCTGAGAGAAGAAGACAATGAAAGGTGTAAGGTCCTGCTTGGAATCATCTTTGGGTGACCATTGCAGGGCCTGTTCAGATCAAGAGTCTCTCAAGCTTAGCCCCAAGCATTAAAGGATGAATCTGTCAGTTCCTGCTTCTCCTTGTTACAAACATGTCACATCCTCTCTCCATTTCTTATTCAGGTGCACACAGCAAGTAAAATTCATCAAACCAAATTTTGCACTAAATGTCTTCTCCACTTTGATGCACATTTCTCTAAACCCAAGCATTTTTGTTTGCATTTTTGCCTATTGCGTACATATTTTTACACATAGGTGCACACACACACACACATACATACCTGTACAGGTCATCATTAGTAAACTGTGTGTACCTACCTACCTACCTACCTACCTGCAGTCTGAAAGAGGAGAGAATTAGTGAAGGATTCAGGGATGATTAAAGGTTCTGAATTTGGAACAGATCATTATTTGGTCAAGAGTAGATCTGGGAAAAAGTAGATATGGAAGTAAAAGAAAGAAATGGAAGAATCAAGAGTGAAAGTAGAATTAAGAGAAAATACAACTAGACTAGGCAAGATAAACTAATCACCCAACCCAATGAATGGAAAACAGACGTAAGGAAAAAGGATGTGAAGCTGCTTGGAATAGAGGCTGAAGAATTAGTTACAGAGTGAAAGAGAATGACTGCTTCAAAATATGAGGTGAGTGGAAATTATTGCTCAGTGTGTGTAAAGATAGCTTAGTCATAAAGAAAGAAGCCAAAGATTTTGATGGGAAAAAAAGATGGCTTTCAAAGTGGGTGAAGCTAAACAAGGAGACTCAGCAGACTGAGTGGAATTAAAATAAAAGTGATGGAATGTTTGGAAATGAAAGTGAAGGGGGAGCCCAGAGGAAGGAGTGTTTTCAAGGCCTGTATCAGAATGACGGTGATATGTCGAAGAGTTGAACTGAAATGAATGCTATGCATGCTACTGTACAAGTAAAGTGATAAAAAGAAAATCATAAGTGTCAAGAGAACATTGAAAAAATCGTAAGGCTGAAGATGCAGGTGAGTTAACTGGAGAAAGACTAAAATAGGAATGCCTATGGAATGCCTTAGCTAGTAGTTTACTCTATGGGTGAAGAGACGGCATTCATGTCTGAAGACTGGAAGAATCCCATTACTCTCCATCCACACCAATAGAAGAGTAACAAGAGCAAATGCAAAATCTACAGAGGGATTAGCTGGGTGTGTGTGTGAAAGGAGAGGAGATAGAGTCAAGAATGAAAGGGGGTTCAGAAATATGGATTGAACACAAACATGAGTACTAACACATAGCAAAATAAATACATAAAGGAAGAGTGAAAGGGAAGATGGAGAAAGTTGTAGATAACTGGAGTCAAAGGAGTTTTCCTCAAAAGAAAAGAGGTAGAAAATATAAAGTTCAAGGACCATGTATCTACAAAGAGATGTGTGCACCTAGTAGAAGCAAGGCTGTCTTCAAAGTCCAGAAAGGTATCATGAATGGTGTTGGTGTAAACCAGATGTAGTTAAATTCTGTCCTTTTCTTTTAACTCCTGCCTCCAATTTATCTCCTTATCACTTTATACTATTTTTACTGCATTTTGCTTAATGATGCATATCCGGAAAGGAGTAGTATGATGAGTTTGTGTATGTGCATAAGTATGTGTGTGTATATACAGATACATTATTTTCTGTAATACACTTCACTGGCGCAATTAGTTTTGTTTTTTTTAATCCTCAACTGCAATACTCAAAGAATATTTCCCTCCACCAACATAAAGCCATGGGGAAATAGAAATGAATAGAAACAAAAGATAAAGTGCAAAACCAGATGCCATGATTTTACCTCCTCCGAATGAGTCTTCCTGTCTCTGACCAGGAAAGAGAACTGGTGGAAGAACCATCCTTTAAGGTGATTGACTCAGTGCTGACTTCAACCTTTAAGCCTTTCATTTCAAAATTAAATCCAATCTTGCCAAAGTAGGTGTTCAGTTTATTATTCAAGAATTTCTTGGCTCCAATAAGCTGCCCATTAATTGTAATTCCTGCAAAGAAAGAAAGAAAGAAAGAAAGAAAGAAAGAAAGAAAGAAAGAAAGAAAGAAAGAAAGAA